TGCAGCATGAGTTTTTTGAGACCCCTTGCATTTATTGAGTTGCTTCATATGCTGGGTGCCTTCCATGTAGTCTTAGGAGGATTTCCTGAGGGTTATCTGTCCTGGAAATGGCTAGTGAGTAATATAAGGACTTTAAATATTCTGGGACAATGGTGCAGTGGTAAAATGTGATGCTCTGAGATGCCGACCCACGTGGGAAGGTTCTCGGTTCACGTCTAGTCACTTCACTGGAGTGTACTGGGCATACACATGTCCATGAAACAGAGGGTGGATGATGGCATGAAGAGCCCGTTGGGGGTGCCAGTTCTCTGTCTCTCACTCATAGAATAAATACATAAAAAATTTAAAAGTTCTTTCTTGGTACTAGGTAGATCTTAAAAACAAAACAAAACAAAACAGTGAATTTTACTGGGAGTCTGACAGGGCTGATAGGTCCATAGTGAGTCCTGGCCGCCAGCACTCTGGTGCAGTGGGGGTACGGAGTCAGCAAGCCTGCAGTTCCCTCAGCCTAACGCTCTGTTGGGGAGGAACTGAAACTACTGATGTAGTAGAGAAGAAATGACATTAGAAACCAAGGGGGGAGCCAGCTAGACTAGCTGCCTCCTTTGTTTCCAAAGCAGACAAAAAAAAAAGGCGAGCCAGAAGTGCACCTCTCTCTCGTCATAATCCGTTTGATTTAAGAACTTTCTTCTTGAACAGTTCACACTCTGATTTTGCATAAGGAGTAACTTTCACAACAGCCAGGCTTTCATTTCACTTAATTTTTCCTTATTTCTTTTTTAAATAGCTGAGCCAGCAATAGGCATTGAACACAGAAATGCTGAGTGCCCGTTATCTGCAGTGCCACTAATGGGAGACACTTATTAATATTTGATTGAAAACAGCAATTCTTTAATGAAAGCAAAAATCGTAGTATAGAGAATTGTTCTTTTAACAAATACACTGATTTAGGAGCAGACCCCTGTAGCCAGGAGTCCCTGGGTCCTGCTAATTGAAAAACGTACCACTGTCTGTCTTTATATTTCAGAACAAATGGTAATAAATGAGTATTTTCTTTTTTGCAAGAGGGAATTTTCATCAGTTCACCAGAAATTACTTTTCTGTTGAAAAAAGGGGGAGGGAGGGAGGAGTAACTTCCCCTTTACATTGAGCCAGCATTTGCATAAAATATTGATGAGAGGCTCCTATAACTTGTTTCAGAAACGGGTTTCTAGTGTCAAGTGCTGGTTAATCAACCAAATGGCAGATCAAATTAGCGAAGTTCTCTTGTTAAGTACTGTGTGTCCTGCTCTTTCTCATGGAAGTTGTGGCTGCTTTAAAATATTCTCTGCAGGAATAACTAATGTAGGCTCAAGGAGCTCTAAACGCTGTAGGCAGCAGTGCTTAGTACTGTCCCCACTGAACAGATGGAGAGAGCGAGACAGAGGGCACTGCACACAGCGGCCAAGCCAGGAGAGCGTGTGCAGAAATCCAGCATTCATCCTCATGGTTGAGGTCTCGCTACTAACCCACACATTGGTATGCCTAGACCAAAAGCTGCCACATCAGTGATCGGTGATTCCCTATGAGACAAGCAAGGCAGGTCCTCCCCCGCTCCCCCCACTGCTGTCACTTATGAATGGGGAAACTGAGGGAGAGATAGGAAAATTAATTGACTAAGGTCACATTCTATGTCAGTAGAAGTTCTGGGGCTGGAACTCGGGGTTGCTGAGTTTCACTATGACTCATGGAAAGGCCTTCTTTTGTGTCTGTTTTTCATCCCCCAAACTTTGAGGAGTGAGAACTGTAGGATAACAGCAAAGTGTGACCGAGAACAACAGGTAGAGGGTGTCTAGTGACTAAACTGACAGCAGCAAAGCATTTACAGAAATATCATGTCTTTCTTCTATGTTTTATTCCTCATCTAGCCACACCGCAGTCCCCAGGGTATTTTTGCTCCTGGGTTGTCTAAGTGATCACACATCCATTGTGATAATCGGGGACCAGATGACCAGTGCGCTCCGAAGCTCTTCTGGCCCAAACTGTGCTAGGATGGCACTCGGTGTCCTGTTATTTCTGAGGCTGCGCTGGAGTCAGAGCTCGTGCAGTCCGACAGAACGGTGGTCTACTTTGGCTGACACCGAGGGGACAGGTGAGGAGCTACAGGTGAGCCTCTGGCATGGCAGCTGCTGTTTAGCACTCACACTAACTATCATGTCTTGCTCAGCTTTCAGAGAATCACATCTTTTAAGTGAGTGTCAAATAACAGGAATTTCAGATTGTTAGAGAATGCATAAACTGTGATTTCTGTCTGCCCTCTTTTTTTTTTTTTAACTCCTTCACATTTACATGAAAATATAGGAATTAAAACCATGGAGTTGGGACCACCCAGTGGCATGGTAGTTAAGGTGGCTGGCTCCACATGGCCAAATGTGTGGTTTGAGTTCTGGACCCAGGTGCTTTAGAAACATGCTGGACACATGTGTGGGCATGCCCAAAATCCTGACAGGAGAGAGAAACAGAGAACAGGCTGCAGGATGACCATCCCCCCTGGGGGTTACTTTCTCACTCCCCTATCTTCCCTCTCTGTCTCCAGTGTCCTCTAGGAAATTTTAAAAAATGAAAATAAAGTAAAACAAACAAGCAAAAAACCTTGGCAATTGGTCAGTTTTCCTCTAGACTACCTTTATTTTAGGGCTCTGAAAGTCAATGTAGGTGAAACTTTTATCCTCTGGGCCTTCCATTCTAGTAGATGACATCATGAAGCTTTATATCTAAAAATAACAGAAATCCAATGCTCTTCCCCACATGGTCCTGAAAAGGTAAAACTCATGACATGGGTGAACACTGGTGCCTTGGTACTTTTGACCCAACCTTCCACATGTGGTTTGGGTATCAGTGCGGCCCAGAATCAGAGACTGAGAGTAAGAGCATTTCTAATTAGCCACGTGGAAAGTGCACTGCTAGCTACATTAATAACCGAATGAAAGCCTCTTCACGTTGCAAAAATACAGATTTCTTATAAGAACTGAAAAACATGTTTTCCATATATACTCCTACTTCATACTGACTCAGGGAACTGTTGTCAGACAACTGTTCACACTGCGTCCACCTTCAGGAGTGGTTTACGGAGGTACGCAGCCCCGTCACGGGGAGGCACACGCAGAAACAGGGCAGTTATTTGCGCCTATGTTGTACAGCTGCTTGGAGAAACACGGGTTTTCAATGAGGCTCTGAGCCACAGCTTTTGCTTCTACAGTGGCATAGAAGAGACTACAAACTTCTTCGGGACAAAGTTACTTTTCTGTCATTAAAGAACTCTTTGCACTTGGGACTCCAGAAGTTTCACTCTTTGAAACACAACCCTAGTACCCCAAGGCAGACCCAGGTACTGAGCCCACACCTGCTCTGTACTCCATGTGGACATTGACAGTGTCCCCTTGGTTTGCATCACTATCAAGAGGGCCAGCCTCGTAACATTTCTTTCAGGCACAGACAGCCAGCCAGAAGACTCCGATGAAAATAGCAAATATCTTTTCTCACCCTCCACATCTCTTCCTCACCCGCCCCCCACCCCTGCCCAAGCTGCTTTGGTTTGAGACTGAAAAGGGATGTGCAGTGATAGAGAAGCCGGTCAGCTTCCCATCTGACAGTGTAACCTGAGCTAATATGTCGGCACGAAGACCTGCTCAACTTGAGAAATAAAAGGAGATGGTTTCAGCTACAGCAAAAGTTCAGGTTGGTTAACTTTGTCACGTGGGATATTTTACAGGGTGACCTCTTCCTGCATGCAAGTGCCTACGTCTACCTTGACTGTGACACAGAGCTCCAATTAGCACTTACGGAAAGAGACTGCATAGACAGCACACTCACCTCGACTCAGCCCATCGGGTCCCCGGAGAATCCGGCATTCTTCTATCTGGCCAAATGGAGAAAACATCACCCTGATATCGTTCTCATTACATTTCTTCGAAACCATTCCTATGAACAATTTTCTGTCTTCCACAGCTAGGAGATAAAAATAATAAATGAGCAAAGTCCATTTCATCTTTTTTTTTTCCTTGTAATCAATGCTTTATCACTTCATTGAACTAAGTCCAGGCACACGAAACTGAACACGGGTGCTAAGGCTAACTCCGACTTCTAACCTGCCCTCCTCCATCTGCAGTCCCATCTTGCCCTCCTCTCTGACCTGGCCGCTCTTAAACATTTATTTCATCTCTTCGTGAGCTTGTTCTTAAACAAAAGCATCTCCCTAGGACCCGGAACACTGCGGTTAAGTCCTTTCCTACCATTCAGAAACTAAATAATGTGGTCACTAAAGATTCTAAGTAATTGGGTAATTGCTAAACACTACCATTACACAGAGTTATTTCTGTATACAGACTTTGATTTGTTGTTGTGAGAATTTTTCTGGTAGGTATTCTTTTTAACTGAACGATAGGAAAAGAGAAAAGTCAGGAGAAGAAAAACAAGAGCAGATATAATGAAACAGTAAACAATACCTTTTTTTAAAAAAAGAATTATTTTATTTAACTTTAAGAAAGGTATTACTATTTTTAAATATTTACACACACACACAGAGAGAGAGAGAAAGAGAGAGAGAGAGAGAGAGAGAGACAGACAGAGAGCAAGCAAGCCTCCAGGTCTAGCACCTTTAATCACCACTCCACCTGCTGGCCCCCAGTAAACAAAACTTTTAACAAAACATTTAAGGGCAAAAAAAAACATTTTTTACTCAATATTTCAGGGAGCTTCATTCCTACTGATCTAGGTAAGAACGAGAGATCAGAGGTATTAATTTCTCTAGAGAGATAGGAAAGTGCCTCCACTCCACAACATTACCGAGGCAGTGCTGGCTAGGTTTTACACCTGGTTCTAACCAGCTAGATTAGTTACATACAACTGAAGAGAAGGCCAATTCAGAGAAGAAAATGGACAGGCTGCTACTTGAGAATCACCTCAGATGGCCCCATGCTCGACCCTGGAGAGACCCTTAAGAGTCTGACAAAAGAACAATGAGGAGGGAATACTATTCCAACCACTTAGAGGTAGGATTCTTGATGAACAAAAATGTATTTGGGTTCCATGAATGACACGTAAATTCATTTTTTTTTTTTTAAGAGATAGGGCCTTGTTTATGTGGCTCAGGCCAGCCTTGAACTCATGATCTTCAGGCCTCAGCCTCCCATGCAGCATAATGCCTTGCGCTACACACAATTTCTAACCTTGGAACACAAAAGGGCAAAGATAAGGTAACTATTTTTTTTTTTTTTTTTTTTTTTCAGTCTCAGATGACCTGAGAGGTTTTCCTCAAAATCTCCTTGTCTGGAAAACAAAACAAAACAAAACAAAACAAAAAAACAAAAACCACCACCAACAAAAAAACCCCCCAAACCCCAAAAAGCTCCTTGTCTCTGCTCAGGATATGTGACCTACATTTAGCCTCAAAGGCCAGGTTATAAATTATTTTAGGACAGTGTTTGGAGCCTTTTTCAGAAGAGACATTCCTTTTTAGGATTTCATAGATACCTATGGGGAACAGCCCTGCCTAGTTTCTATTGTTTCATGTCAATCCATTTCTTAGGATTAAAATAACAGGACAGTCATCTGCACTAGCACAACAGGCTTAGGGTCAGGGCTGGCTCTTGATACCCGAAGATGAACTTTGTTTGAATCTGTATTAAAATTCTGTCATTGCTATTTATTAGGTTTTTATTTCTGTCCTTTGCTGGACAATAAGTATCATCTTTTCATTTAACCAATCAGCATTCATTCCAGATTTATTTGGGTCAGTTGCTTCTGGAAGTCAGAATTTAGAAGACGTGGTCTCCAGCCCTGCAGGAGCTGGGGTGAATCTATTTAGGAAGGAGTAATACAACATGGGGTGGTGTACTCTGAAGCAGTGTTGTCCAGTGTACGTGCTGGATAGCACTTTAGCTAAAGCCACTTTGTGGCTACTGAGAACATAAAAGGGGTAGTGTGAATGAGGAATTGATTTTTTTTTAAAGTTTAATTTTAAATGATTTAAATTTTAAAAGCCACATGTGATTGCTATGGCAGCAGTGTAGCTCCAAAGAGCCTAAATTAGATAGCTATATGTTCCTTGTGACAGAATCCCAGACTGGAATAAAACTGAAGAGATGTTTTGCCTATCTCTAAAAGAGATCCCCGAGGCCTTTCAAGGAAGGGATTTGCCTAGGGTTGAAACCGAGCAATGACCCCCTAAGGTATTTTCTAGGGTTCCTGAAATATAAAGTCCATTTTTCATTGTAATGGCCCAGAGTAAGGAGTAAGTCTTCAGACTTTGGTTATGATAATGACCAACATGGACCATGAGTGAGGGCCATTTGACCTCTAAAACTCTCACTTAAAGGAAAGAAGGTTTTCATTTCAATATGTAAGATGTCTTGTAGGCTGGAAACTGCTGGTTGTGAGCTCAAAGACTCCAGGATGAAGGGTTCCAGACACCTGAAGAGGAATTTGATTATCTAAGGCCTCACCAATCAAGACTGCCCATGAGAGATGATCATGCCCTCTTGAACCAATCACTGAACTGATCATGCGCCTAGGACCTCTGCCCCTAATTTTGCCCTTAAAAACACATGTGAGGAACATCTCGGGGAGACTGGGTCTTTTCAGCATGAGCTGCCCACTCTCCTTGCTTTGCGCTTTGCAATAAAGCTGTACTTTCCTTCACCACACCATGTGCCTATGGCTTGGTTTTATAGCGCTTGGGGGAGCGAACCTGATTTGAGTTCGGTAACAGGGTCATTCAGCAACTATATGGTCTAACCTTACCACAGCCTGGTATCCTACTCCCAGCCCAGGGTTCTTTCCACTCTACTGTGTTTTCTCTAAGGACAGAGAAATGAGATAAGGCTAAAAAAGAGAGCAGTGGTCATTTTAGTTCTGGTGTTGCCATTGATGTGTGACCTTCAAGAATTATTTGGCCTCTAGGACCTCAGTTTTGTTGCTCATGAAATAAAAGTTTAAACTCTAGTCTTTTTCCTTTTTTCTTTTTGTTCTCTTCCTTAAGAAATGGAGAGGAAGCCAGCTATATGCTTCGATGACTAAGGCACTTGGGAGTGGGGAAATGTTTGGGCAAGCTGCAGAATCTCTTCCACTGGGTCAGCTCCTCTCTCCACACTTGTGACAGATCCTAAGGTAACTAGGAGAAACTACAGGGCTCTGAGGAATAAGGGTCAAAACCCACAACTCTATAATATTTGTAAACCATGAACTGTGCACCAGTTCATAGTTGGGAAAGGCTTGATGGAAGATGTGGAATTTAAGCTTGACTTGAAGAAGCATAGCAGGGTTTAGATATGTGGGGAGTGAGATTGGGGAACAAGGTCCAGAGTCAGGAATAAATAGGGACTGTCCCTATATACAGATGTATAAGGAAAGTAACAGTCAAAGGTCACGGCTGGGTTGAGACTCGTCAAAGGAGACATGGACAACAGGCACTCTGGCTCAGAATCTTGGGAGGGAGGCCCCTGAGGACTTGACTTCCTTTATGTGGATGAAAAATTTTCAATTAAATTTCATTTTACTCCCTTCACAGTAAGTACCACTGATCTATTATGGACTGGTAAAAGCCCAGGAAATCAAGGGTAATGCCAGTACAACTTGGCTTCATCAGTGGCAGATACCCTGGCAAGGAGCTCTCGGCATGATGGAACCTTTGTGGTCTTCCACCTCAGATCGACTTCTGGCTGTCTGTGATGCCTGGACTCCTGAGCATGTGAGAATTCTGACCAGGCAGGTCCTATGAGGATGTGGCAGTCCCTGAATGGGAAGGGAAAAGGGATGGCATTGACAAAAATGGGGCAGAGATGGGAGGGAAAATCTTCTAGTTCATAGTTCCTATTCTTTCTTCTCTCTCACTTCTGGGACTCCTACCTCCAGGAAACTGGCTGGTTTCTTCATGAGAATAATGCTAAAAAAAATCCTATTATAGTTTTTCTTATCCTGAAAAATGTGGTTTTAGTTCATTTAAACAAAAGCAAATGAAAAATTCTCACTTGGTCCTTGATTTGATTGTTTAATACAAAATCATAATTGTAGATTTACCAGTGTGCAAGTTTTGAGCTTCAGGGTGTTGCTACAAATCCATCATACATTTCCGAAGTAAGCTTAAAAATGTTCCCCCCCCCAAGATGAATATTAAGGAAATGGAAAACCCTCATGAAAAAATCCTGACTTCCTAGCCATCACTAAGGATAAATTTAACCAGGCAGTAAGAAGGTAAGTAACTCTCACTTTTAAAAATAACATGTATTAGTGAAGGGGGAAAAAAGGGAAGCCAGCATCATCCATCTGCTATTTAAAATGCAAATTTCCTTCTTCTCCTAAGTGGCCTGAGGTGATCTTTGAAAATGGTTCACTAGTCACTTAACCCAGAGAACCTCACAAAGTCATGCTAATCAAGAGGTTCAAATCTTCCCATTCACTTTAAGAACACTCCCGAAACTGCCCAGGCCATCAAGGGTATGCCTATCCGAAAAGCCACTAAGTAGCTGAAGGATGTCACTTTACAGAAGCATCGTGTACCTCTTTGTCGTTACAATGGTGGAGTTGGTAGATGTGTCTAGGTTAAACAGTGGGGCTGGACACGAGGTCAGTGGCCCAAAAAGAGTGAATTTTTGCTGCATGTGCTTAAAAATGCAGAGAGTAACGCTGAACTTAAGTGGCTGATGTAGAGTCTCTGGTCATTGAGCACATTCAGGTGAGCAAGGCACCCAAGGTGTGCCGGCTTATGTACAGAGCTCATGGGCGGATTAACCCACACATGAGCTCCCCCTGCCACATCGAGATGATCCTCACTGAAAAGGAGCACATTGTTCCGAAACCGAAAGAGGAAGTCGCACAGAAGAAAAAGATATCCCAGAAGAAACTGAAGAAATAAAAACTTAGGGCATAAAGTCAGCATAAAATAAATGTAGATAAAAATTTAAAAAAAAATTAAATGCAAATTTCCTTCTCCATTGCGTGACCTCACATGCTCTTGTATGTACCAAGGAAGCTGGACATCAGCAGTCTTCTACTAGCCAAAGTTTCTCTGAGGTTTTAACAGTCGGACTGTGTTTGCTTTAACGGCAAAATGGAGATGACTAAACATACCCAGCTTACCTCCCTCGAGGTTCCCTCATTTTCTGGTGAGAATTTATTCATAAAATTTATTTCCAGGATTACCATTCTGTGGATTCCCTAACAGTTTGTAAATATTTAAATCAACAAAAGCATCTTGAATTGACCTAACTTTTTCATCAGTTTTTGATAACTTTATTGGTAAGTTTTTCCCAAGTTGATTGCTTAACGGAGCCCACTGTGTTTACAATATTCTGCTAGGTGCTTTAGGGGAATTAAAACAAACAAAACAAAAAAGAATAAAAAGGAAAGGCCCCTGTCCTCTGGGGGAAAAGTGATTTTCCTCTAGGATGGCAAATGAAAGGGGGCAGGGAAATACTTTTCTCTATGAGGTACCATACTGATGGGGTCCCTTTCATCAACAGCAGAACTGAAAGGGGTTTACAACAGCAACCATGTCAAGGCTTCCTTTCACAGCATAATGAGAAAGGGTTAATACCTTACATCCAAGGGGTGACTTTTTTAAGTTAGGGGAATAGAAACTTCATTTTTTTTTTTTTTTTAATTCCTAATTGTAAGTCTGTGCTAACACCCTGGTGTACAATCTGTCAAAGTCACACCTGTATTCAGGGCTGCCTGAATTAATTAACAACTTTTCAATGTGTTAGTGCTAACATATGGCATTTAATTACTGCCTCCAAATCTGTGAGTCTCTCCACTTTGAATTTCAAAATTATTTCTTCATCTTCTAGTAAATCAGAAAGTGACTGGATGGAAACGCCCTATAATTCTCATTTTAATGGAGGCTTTGCAGGTCTCCATCTTTCCCTGATAATATTTACTTCTCTTGACTCCTGCTAGCTCTGAACTTGACCCATGGACACTGGAGGTTTTGGAGAGCTTGAGAAAAAGAGACAGTGGTCTTAAATGGCATTTCTGGATCCTAGGCTTTAAGGACTCCCAACAACTTGTGAGGTTGAAGGATAAAGCAAGATAGATTTATGCTCTGTCCGCAGAATAAAAACAATCCTCCTGACAAGAATCACAACATAATAGTGAATGCTGGCTCTAGCTACCAAGATCCAAGCACGGAATCAGAGGCAACCGCTATGCTTTTCTTATCATTCACTGCGAGACTAGCTTCAGCAACTGCTTTTAATTTTCAGTCTTTCACAGCTGATACTTCCACAGCAATAGAGGATTAAGAACTGGGCACTACTCAGAACAGTATATGGATGGTACCTACAATGAAAGACAGTAACTATGTCTTTGCTAGTTCCTGTGGGTACCTTAAATTCACACCTCCTCACATGCCCTTCTTATGGCACCACTCAACTGTCTGCAGTAGAAAAATGACAAAAGACTTGGATTCTGTTAGAAGCTGGGCATTTATTCAGTGTGTTCTTCTAAACAGCAGTAGCACTGTATTGCTTATCCAGAAAAGAATTGTTTTTCCTTCTTGACACCTCGTATAGTAGAAACACAGGCAGAAAATAAAATGTTGGCAGTTTGCATAAATGTGCTAGAGGCTGCAGCTTAACTGAGGGCCCATGGAAAGGGCAGAAGCCATGAAGATTTAGAAAGCCCATTAGGTAAAAACAAAAGTGCCAGGCCAACCTACAAGCAATCCAACATTACTGGGCTCACCACAGAGGTCCCCTTTATCAGAATCTCTAGGTGGACAAAGACTTCAGAGGGTGATTGCTATTCTCAAATCCATTTGTCCATCACTAATTAATCTGTGATTATCAGCCCTTTCTTGCTCTGCAAATACAAAGTTTTAGAAATCTGAACACACTGATAATGAAGACAGTAACTGTCTAACTGTGATGAATCCTTTGTGCTATCCATAAATGTCAGCAAACTCAATAAAAGTGCAATTAGAGCTCGTTATACTTCTTTCACAACTACAGAAGCTATTTAGAGCATCCGAGCCAAAGAAATCTTTGTGTTCTTTGAGCTTTTGAAACTATGCTTACCTGTCAAAAATGCCATGTGAAATCAGAAAAGGCTTGCAGCTTTTATCACTTGCTTTAGACAATTATACATTTCTTCTGATTCTTAAGTCAGGTCCAATGTGAACCCTGAAACCTCTTTATGCCTATGCAAACTGAAGTTGTGTTTGAGTCTACAGAGAAGAGCCTTTTAAAAGCAGCTTCGAATCCATTTACACATTTTGACTTTTCAGAAAATGAAGGTCAATCTACACGTAAAGGGTGAATTGGCCTCATTACAAGAGTTAGGGGTTTTCCACTCATATACAGAACCATGCTTCGGTATGAACAGCCCAACCCTGGACGTGCCAGCCTCTATCATTCAAAATGCACCAAAACAGCTGCCTCAGTGGAATTATGCTGCTAATTCAGCATATCCTAGCTACTGGATATTTACTATGTGCCAGATACTATGCTAAGCTCTTTACAGATGTTAACTTCTGTAATCCTCGAACAACCTTGTAAGGCAGGCATTACAAAAAGAGTTCAGACTACATTACTGTGTCCCCCTTTTACAGCTGAAGGTGTTGAGGCTGAGTGACGTTAAGTAACTTGTCCAAGAACACAAGTGCACAGTAAGGTTAAGTAACTTGTCCAAGAACACAACTAACAAGTGCAGAGTGAGTGAAGTTAAGTAACTTGTCCAAGGACACAACTAACAAGTGCAGACTCAGAAGTCCACTCTAGGCTTCTCAATATAGTTCTTAACTGTTGCCCTTTGCTGCTTCCTGAACAATGGCATATTTTTTCGGTATTCTCTTAATCTTAGTAATAATGATGCCCAATCCTCCTTGGCTTCTGAGATCATGCAAAACTGGGGGCACCCATGACAGTTTTATTCTCTTGCTGTAGACCCAAAGCAAACTTTGTACATAGTGTCCAGAGTAGATCTTGGACAGCAACAGCAACAAATCCCTCAGAACTCCTGGCAGTTGGCTTATGGAAAGGATTCTAAGTCAGGGTGTGTATATGCATGTTAGAAAATGCAAAGGAAGAAATCTTTTCATGTTCAATTACTCGGGAGTTTCAACTCAGTCTTCTCATTTGTCGTGTTTTTCTAACTGCAACGTAAGGCTGGGTATGATAAGGCAAAACCTTGTCTGTGTACTTCATCCTTTGTCCTCATCCAGTTTAGAGAATTATGGGGTTGAAGGACAGGGCGCATTTTCTGACAGCTAGAAGGTGTGACATGGCCTCCCCTGATACGATTCATCCCACCAATACAAGACTCGTCCCTCTCCTTCCCACTGAAGAAGACCACAGACCGCAAGCATGCACCTCCAGGAGTCAAAGGACTCAAGGAATCCACAGGGGACAATGGCCTTCTAAATAGAGAGACAGGTACCTCATAAGGCAGGGGAAAATCTCTGCATAATACTAACAATAATCAACATTTTACAGAAGTGCCCTATCAGTTATAAAGACGGTTACAGATGTCTTATTTGAGACTCAAAGGAGAAAAAAAAAAAAAAAGCCAGACCATCTGAAGGAGTTATGGTCGTTCCCATTGTTAGTAATGGGGAGATTCAAGTTCTGTGTTTAAGTGACTATCAGGCACCTACATCAGTGAACTGAATGTAAGTTCCACGAGGCCAAGGTCAGTCCCTTGTAGTCTTTTCTTTTTCCTTTTCAAATTTATTGCTGCAGCCCCAGCCCCTACCAACATGCCTGGCACACAGTAAGCAACCAATAAGTAACTGCTGATTAAAAAAATGAAGTGGCCCCATCACAGACTTGTGGCAAAGCAGCGGCAGCTTTTAGAACTTCTGACACGGAGTGTCATGTTTGTGATAAAGCAGTCTAGGAAAAAGAGAAATAATCCTAAGGAAAGCACAGGGCAGAGAGGACAGCGGGTCAAGCACCAAAGTCTACCACCAGAGAGAGGAGAGCTTGATAAAACAAGCACCAGCAGCACTGAGCTAGGGCTTGGAATTTTCTTCAAAACTTTCTAGTCTGTGGAGAAGCCAGAAAATGGGATGCACTACAATTAGCAAAAAAATACCTTGTGGAGAGATTTAGAGCCCAATCATAATTTACATTTGCAGATATGCAGATCTCCAAGTGCATGGCTTCTGCCCTGATTACTAATTAATGAGGTGCAAAACTGCCGTGGGAAGAAACAGTGCTGATTATGTCAGTCTGGTGGGACATAGAGCTCTGTGGCCCAGGAAGGTAGCCGATTCTTTGAACATACATTTCAGTACATTAAAAGAGCAAAACAGGGCCAGGAAGCTTGCAGAAATGGAGGTGAAAATTTAAGAGGGAGAAACATGGCTATCAGTCCTCTCATGTCTTAGAGAGGCAAACTCCAATTATTTCATGGACCTCATCAAATGCGTATTTTTATACCAGGTGTACATTTATTTAATCAGCAGACTGAATTCTGAATGAATTCTGACGCAAATGCACCAGGACAATTTAGAGAACACTGCCATAAGATAGTCTCCAAGTCAAAGCAGACCAAACGGAAAAAGAAAAAAAAAAAGATAGCCTTTTTCTTCATGGGCAATTCCTTTCTGATAGTGTCCTCTGAGCTCCCCATCAGGGGTCCTTATGTTGCTCTGTCAGAGGAGATAACTTAAGAGCCAAATGCTGCAGGGTCACTACACAGGGCAAGCCCCAAACGGAGGAACAGGAAAACCATTCCTTGTGACATTCTCATAGATCTTCAAGCCAGAGATAAATGAAGCAGGAAAGTAGAGGGTGGAAGGTTCCTACTGCAGTCCTCAGCCTTCTAAGAGAAAAAGCCCTTCGGGCTGGCTCCTCCCTCCCCCACGGGACTTTTTAATTTCAGGAAGCAGGTATGATTAAACAAGACAGTTGGTTACCACCTACCGTTTGACTTTTCACTATCTGCAGGTTTCATCTGAATGGGATGATGCATCTAAAAATACAAAAGTGAGAAAGTAAAGGCAGATTGGACAACTGTAGAAACAGTCCCGGAAATCTGATACTATTCAGCTAGAGTACTGATACTATTACAAGGGCACATAAATAATAAGACATTTTTGTTTCAGGTAAAATGAACTATGTTAAAAATCATGTTTGTGTTTGACGTTCAGGAATCTAAACCTTTTAAGTCACAGGGCACCAGAACACAGTATTGAAATGCTTGGCTTTTCAAATCACACTTGAGCATGAAACCTAGTTCTGCCACTCAGTCTAGCTTCTGCCTCTATCTTAGAGGAATTCTCTTTCTGCCATTCATGACACCTATGTGATGTGTGGGCAAATGTCTGAATGTCTCTGGCTGCAGTTTCCTCATCTGTAAGATGGAGATAGTCCTTGCATGGCAGGGTTTGATAATGAAATGAGAAAATGCATGTAAAGTGCTTTATAAGCAGAGCCTGGGACATGCTGAAAAAATTTAGTTACTCTTGGGAACCAGCAGTTAGCGTAATGGCTATGTCGCTGGACTCCCGCATAGTCAACTGCGGTTCACGTCCCGGACCCGGTGGCTTAAAACTCACGCCGGGCGCGTGTGCGTGCATGCCCAAGATCCCGAGAGGAGAATGAAGGAGAAGGGATTGCGGCGTGGCCATCCCCCCTGGGGGGTGATTTCTCGCTTTCTGTCTCTCTCTGTCTGTCTGGTGAGCACACGCGCCCTATAGTGAAAAACCTCTCCAAAAAAAAAAAATAAATAAAGAAAGAAAGAAAGAAAGAAAGAAAAAATTTAGCTACTCTTAATGCATTATGACAAATTTAAATGTAGATTTTTGTTTCTCTTCTGGCTGATTTAGACGTCTGTTACATGGATTTTTCTTCCGTCTAATAGTTATGAGTAATCTAGCATTCATTGATTGATTCCGGTGCCATATATAATTTTTATTAAATACTAAGTGTAGAACAGGAATATAGAGCTACTAGAAGAATGGAAAGAAGGAAGGAAAGAAAGAAGGAAGGAGAGGGACAGGGAGAAAGGGACGCAGGGACACTATGGTCAGGTTCAATATGTGTCAGGAGTAGAAGGAACATGAGACAGGGTGGGGCTGAGGTCCTGAATTGTGGCAGATGTGGTTGTTCCATGGCTCTTCACAGAGCACTGATCACACTTCTGTGCCTGATCCACAGAGTTTACTCCAAGTAAAGAATGCCACCACCATTTCCAATTAAAATAAATTCCTCAAACTACTTTCAAAGATCCTTTTGCTTCATAGCTCATCATACCCCAAGGAACACAGAAGCCACGGGGTAGATGGAATCATTGGCTATGCAAATGCCTTTATTATAATGGGTCCGTTCTCTCTGAACCTTTAATTTCCCCAGTGGACTTCCATCACTTACAAGCCACAGCCTTGGGTTTTATCTAATTTAAATGCAAACAGAATGGTACTTGGCTCTGGCACATATCTGATGGGAAACTATCGTCAGGCAGTCAGGAACATGTGCACCTAATGCCCGCCAGGGTCTTCAACAAACAAGAGGAAGGGACAGAGGGCGGCAAAAGAGAGAGGGAGGACTGTCCAGGGATATCAGGCTAAATAACTCAGAGCTGCTTCGTTTCTCTTAAAAAGGCAAGATGCTCTTATGCATAGAATGTAGGCCTTGAACTGTGGGGGTCTATGATTCTTACTTCATTGATTAATATATTCAATCTCTGAAGGAAAGACTAGAATAAGATGAGGTGTTTAGGGATCAATGAATACACCAGTCTTTTCAGCACAGAGTAGAATGTGTACCTCAAAAAGCAGGCAGAAGTGAACTGTGGAGATCCCTGGTTAGGACGAGGAATATGGCCTCTAGCCTACATTCATGGAGGGGAGGACTAAAGAAATGTTTGGGGGAGATGCACAATCTTTAAGTAGGTTGTTCTTCCAGTCTGCATCTGTCCACTTGCTCAGCAATCAAGGAAGAAACAGCTGCCATTTGTCAGGCTTCAGGTAAGGCAGGTAAGGACTGGGGATGAAGACCAGGTGAAGAAGCTTCTCCCCTGCAGGTGCTCACCCGTTGTGGGAAGAAACTGTTGCCAACAGACAGCTGAGCAATGCGGTAGTGCCAGGGCAGAGGCAGGAGAGAAAGTGCGACAGTCCAGGACACAGGTGCATACATCTACCTGTCAAGGAAAGTGAAGACTTCCTAGCACAGGTGAGATCTGGCTCAAGGGCTTGGGCTGGCCAGCGGAGAAAGGAAGAAAGAAATGGCAAGGGAAACCCATGGGCTATCTTATGTAAAGAGAAGGGGTAAGGGGGTCAGCAGATGGTTTAGTGGCCATGTCATTGGACTCCCACATAGGTGACCATGGTTTGAGTCCCAGACTCAGTGGCTTAAAACTCATGCTGGGCACATGTGTGTGTGTGTGCACTCAAAATCCCAGGAGGAAAATGGAGGCTGAGGGATTGCGTCATAGCTATTCCCTCATGGGAGGTAGGTGATTTCTTACTTTCTCTCTCACTGTCTCTGTCTCTCTTTCTCTCTGGTGAGCTTACATGCCCTATGGCAAATACTTCTGAGAGAGAGGGGGAGGGGGGATGGAGAGAAGTGAGAGAGCACAGTTTTCTCTCAAGGAGTTAAAAATGTAAGCAGGAAGGTCATAATGCTACAAAGTAGACAGACAGTACCTAGGTCTTACAGGGTCTTGCAAGTTAAGGAATTGAAATTTTTTCTAAAAATCTATGCTCAGGTGAGAAGATTTAAGTAGCAAAGATCACAAAGTGAATTTGTATTAGAGAAAAGTCATTTTTGCAGCATGCAGGGAGAATAAAAGAAGACATAGTAGGCAGGCAGGACAGGGGGGGTAGGTGCCCTAGCCTGCGTGATCTTGATCATTAATTCAGTGGTAACTAGCTGGTCATGGGGATGAAGAACTCCAGACCTGGACATCCAGATGGAGTGTAGGTTACTGCCCAAACAGGGAACACACGAGAAAATCATTTTGCAGGAGGTTACTGAGTGCAGGTCTGGACATGCTAACTTTGATGTGACTATGAGCCACAGAGAGAAGTTGGAAATGTGGGGTTTAAGCTTAAAGTCTGGGAGGACAGAGCAAAGGGCACCAGGGGAGCAGGAGAAGCAGGGAATTGTCAACCTTGCAGAAGCCATGAGAGGAGGATAATAAGATACACTTTATCAGAAATAAGGGATTTGTCAGAGCGAGTACTACTTTTTCTTTTTTTAAAGAATTATATATTTAATTTAGGTATTATTATTTTTTAACTTGACCAGACAGAGACATAGAGAAAGTGAAATGGAAAGTGAGAAAGCACGTCACCAGGTTCGGGCTTGAATCACTGTTGGCCATGTGGGAGTCCAGCGCCTTAACCACTATGACACCTGCCAGTTCCTGGAACAAGTACTTCTAGTGACTCTGATGAAACACCGAAGTACCTTTTGGGATTGGGTAATTCAAAGTTCCCTGGAGGATTTATCAGAAGCAATTTCTAGGAAGTATAGGGGACCTGAATGCCAGACTGTAGAAAGTGGAGTCAAGGGGAGGACAACAAAGGCCACTATTTGAAGAAGATTAGCTGCAAATGGAGGAAAGATACCTCCTCTATGCAGGGCAGGAATGGAAGATGGGTGGTGGTGTCTCCTCCTAAGATAGGAAAGACTCGCACAGGTTAATGTATTGAAAAGACATGAAATTCACAGGTTAAAGATAAAGGAGAAATGAGGAAAGTGCACCTACATTATGTATGTGATACAAAAATGAAAGGACCGTGGCTTCTGCTTTCAGAGAGCTTAGAGTCTACCATGCTGGCTGATATGCATATACATCCAAAAGAATTGTGGTAAACACCTAAAGAGGAGCACAAATAGAGTGTTCCAAGTGTTCAGATCCATCTGGGAAGCACGTGGAGGACTAAAGGATCTGGGAGTGGTAACCATCCCACTCAAAAGCTGGAAAAGGCCCTGGAAGTCATATAGTTCAGTGCTCTCAGTTTATAGGTGTGATGGGAATAAACAACTTCACTGAGGACACACAGCTGGTTAATGACAGGGCTGGGATCAGAAATCTAATCTCTACACTCTTAGTCTAATGATGACTCCCCTCTACCACACTGCTTCTCCATAAAACGTCCAACATGGGACTTGGCCACTTGAGCCTTGGATCAAGAACTATAGGCTTCACTCACTGCTGGAGCCAGACACTCTTTGAAGGTGCCTGAAATATCCCTTTAGGTGAAAGTAATCTTCCCTTCCTCAGAACTCCCGTAATACTTTATCTCCATACCTTTATAACTAGTATTACGCTAAGACTTAACCTATTGGTTTTCTTGCAGCTACTGAGAGAATTATTTCAGTTTCTGACCTAAGACTATCCAGAAGGCTCAGCAAAGTAACAGGTAGCAATAAAATGGTTACTACCACTATAGGCTTGAACTTTGTTTTGGTCTTTTCCCCAGAGAGGGGTAAAATCAACTTCACAGAGGTCTCACTATCAGACCATGGTGAATTCTGAGTGTGTGATCACCATACTTCAGGCATATTCTTTAGACAATTTAGATAATATATGTAAAGCACTGTGACCTTCTTAGAGAAAGGTGTTCAATCAGTACTGTATTAAAATGGCTTATTATCGTGAGTAGTTGAGTTATAAAGTTCTGTTCACATATAAGATGTAAATGTCAAGAAAGACAAAAATTTGTCTGGAGGAGTCATTCTCATACTGATGTTTTACTTTCTCAAAATCTCATGATTCTAAGAACGTTGGGCGGTTACGTGAATGGAACAAGGAAGTTATTGTACAAGAATGGGCATCCCGAGTTTAAAGTTTGAAGTTATAATAAAGGGATTCTTTGCCTGTAACAGGGGTGGTTTCAAAGATTTCACTCAATATGATTCTAGGACTACTCATTCATTCACTTATTTCTGCTCTTTTCAGACACCATGTTAGATGCTGGAAATGGAAGGATAAAAGAGTTTTCACCATAACGGAGCCTGTGG